CATAAATTTTTTTCTGATTTTGGGCCAATTCAGCCCCAGCCCCCCGGGGGGTTTGGCCCGTAAGGGAAGGAGAAGCCCCCCCGGGGAGGGGAGAGTTTGGGCAGGTTTTTTTGGTTGTTTTTTTTTTTTTTCGGGGGGAGACACACAAATTGGGTTTCGGGGTCCGGTTTTGGGGGCAAATTTTGTGGGGGGGGGGGGGGGGGGGAGGTGTACTCATAGTCGTGCATGCCGTAGTCGTTAGACCATTGACCTCGCACCCCTACCAAGCCGGGACGGAGCACGCCGGGTTCTCACCGGAGGCAAGGCTCTCACATCACCAAGCGCGAAGCGCCGTGAGGTCTTCAGCGAGTCGCATGAAGCGGGGGGGGGGATCGGAGTGAAACATCACTGCAAGAGAGGCTTTCCATAAAGTGACACGGATATTTCCGCCGCCCGACCAGCCCTTGTAATCTCAAGCAGGACGGAAATCAATGCACGTACGCTCAAGAGTTTGATGAAGCATGACATACACATAGGCATCGCCATGACTACACCACGACAGTAGTGGGTCTTAATGATGCATCACGACCCGTCGAAACTGCAACCATGGGGGAAATAATTCGTTTTCCCATCGCCCGGATTGGGGGCGTTTCCCACCAAAAAACTCAAACACCGCTCGCTGCGTTTGGTTGTCTCGGCGGTAACTCGACTTCTTGTCTTGGCAAGCACGCGCCCCGTTGCCTGCGCCTGAATTGCGTCCACGCGCTAGATAGATTTTCACCACGGCGTACAGTGGGGGGGGGTGTACTCATAACCGTGCGTGCCGTAGTAGTTGGACCATTGACCTATGCATGGCATCCCTACAAAGCCGGGATGGAGCACGCCGGCATACGTAGGGGAGGGCTCAACAACGCCGGTTGAACAGCGCCGGCGAAGTCGCTGGACTCAGACTGAATCACCGAGCATTCCTTGTACTTTCAATAGTGCCGGTCGACTGCCGGGCACATACCAGCGTTATTGAGCCCCCCCCCACTACTGTATGGAGTACCGGTAAAGCGCGGAAACACCGGTCACGCGTCACGTGCATCCGCCAGGTGGAAATCTATAGGCGGATTTTTTTCCCTCTCTTTTTGGTTCACAGCGGCCACAGCTCACAGCAATTCTGACGGGTATATTGGAGCTCCGACCCGTGGTCATACAGAGGGGGCTCCAATCCGTGGTCAGTCACACAGAATGTAAGGGTTCCTCTCCCTGAGGCCCCTCCTGCGGTTGCTTGCCTCCCAGCTATCACGCAGCACTCTCTTCTAGACCAGGAAATTGGATCGATTTGTCTGTGTGGGAAGTAAATCTCTCGTTCTTTTAGTCGTATTAGTACACGCGCAACTTCATTAACGAGTGGAACGGGTTCTCTGATCACAATTATCCAGCACCCCCCCCCCTACTGCATGCACGACTGTGAGTACCCCCCGCCCCCCCC